CGCTTTCCCTGTTTCTTTCTGGCCAAATTATACAATAATAACAAATGGGATTAAATAAATAACTTAAAATTTTTAAAAACAAAAAAAGAAAAAAAACAATAAAACAGTTGTAACTGCTTGTCTAACCTGTCTCCCCAGACCATAAACTTTCTGTTTTAGAGATTTTTGCTATTGGGCTGGTACACTCACCAGAGAGACAGAGAAGGTGAGAAATCACCCAGGGGGGATGGCCATGCCACAATCCTTCTCATCCATTCTCCACTTTTGAGCACACACACACGCGCCCGGTGTGAGCTTCAAGCTTCTGCGTCCGAGACTCTAACTGTAGTTGGCCATGTGGGAGTCCCACCCCTTAAATGCTGTGCTGCCTGATGGCCTCTAGACCATGAGCTTTCTTTTTTTTTTTTGGAGAGGTTTTCACTATAGGGCGCGTGCCCTCGCCACACAGACAGAGAGAGACAGAGAGATAGAAAGCGAGAAATCACCCCCCAGGGAGGATGGCCACGCTGCAATCCCTTCTCCTCCATTCTCCTCTTGGGATCTTGGGCATGCACACACACGCGCCCGGCATGAGTTTAAGCCACCAAGTCCGGGACGTGAACTGCAGTCGACTACATGGGAGTCCAGAGACATAGCCATTATGCTAACTGCTGGTCCCCACCATGAACTTTCTGAGGGCAAGGGCCACATGTCCTGGTCGTGGCCAGCCCAGATTCCAGCCTAGAGGAGATGCCCAGCGATCCTCAGCAGCTTGACCCGACACATGCTCGGGCTGCTGTGGCGAGAGGAACACCAGGTGGCCCTACGCAGGACTCCCATTTCCTGGAGTCGCCGCATCGGCAGGAGGCAGGTGGCAGTGACTGGAGGCTGGTTGCTGGCACTCAGCGGTCCTTGCTGTCCCTTCTCCCCACCTGTCCCTTCAGTACCTGAAGAAGCTGCACACGCAGGAGCGGGCAGTAGAGGAGGTGAAGCTGGCCATCAAGCCATACTACCAGAAGAAGGACATCACCAAGGAGGAGTACAAGGACATCCTGAGGAAGGCCGTCCACAAGGTGGGCGAGGGTGCGGGGTGGGTGGCGCTGTGGTTCTGTCCGAGAAGCGAGGCTGTCCTTGAGGAAGCTCTCCTCAAAGGGCTGTCGGGGGGATGTGGGTCTGGGTATGACCACCGTCCTAGCTCCCGGCTGTGCTCCGCAGTCTGGGTGAGGGGGCCGGGAGACTGGCGGTGACTCCCACTGCCCTGGCTCCCCAGATCTGCCACAGCAAAAGCGGGGAGATCAACCCAGTGAAGGTGAGCAACTTGGTGCGGGCCTACGTCCAGCGCTACCGCTACTTCCGCAAGCACGGCCGCAAACCAGGGGATCCCCCGGGGCCCCCAAGGCCGCCCAAGGAGCCAGGGCCCCCCCCCGACAGGGGCGGCCCGGGTCTGCCCCTGCCCCCTCTCTGAGACCCCCAGCCACCCCTTCCCCCCTTCGCCTCTGAAATTCTGGACATATTTATGGCTCCGCCACCCCACTTCCCTCCCTGGTCAGTGGGATGACGGGGAGGGTTGCTGCTGGGATGAGGAGAGCCCCCTGCCCTGCCCATCCTCCTCGTTCCCGGGCGGCTTGTCCCCATGGCCCCACCCCTCTGTTTGTGCCCCTCCTCCCAGTTTCATTAAAGGTTTCATGAAATCCTCTCCCAGAGCCCCTTGATTTTTGCTCTTTGTTTTCGGAGGCAGATTCGGGAAGGGCTGGGCAGACTCTGGGAGGCTTAGCCCGAGTCAGGGTGGGAAGCAGGAACTGCAGACAGGGATGAGGGCTGAGTGCGGTGTGCTCTGGGTCCTCAGCTTCCTTATCATAGCATCTGGCAGGCGGACGCCACCTGATCACTGTCGCCAGCTCCGGGCCCCAGGCTACTGCTGGCTTACCCTGGAATTGCCCCCAGGAGCAGGATCCTGTCAGCCTGTGAGGCTGGGGTGACCTATTCCACGCTCCTGAGGGAAACTGAGGCATGAACAGGGGCCCCATGGTGAGTCAGGACTATGCTGGCTTCCCTCGGTCCTGTTCCCCAGAACTGAGGCCTGACAAGGAGGGGTGCACAGGCCAGTAGCACACACACCAGGGGGCCACATTCCAGCCCCCACATAGAGGAAGCTCCAGTCTGGCAGAAGGGAGGTTGCCCAAACTTGTCAGCAGGCAGGGCCTCCCTGAGAGCGGCTACCGGCGCTGCAACTGCCTTACAGTCCGCGCCTCGGTCTGCAAACTGAGGGTGACCATCACCGCATCAGGTCCCCGGGAATAGGCGAGGAGCTGGTGAGTGGTGGCCTCCTCCACCGGCTGGAACACTTGAGCAGGCAGCTGCACAGATGAGTAAACGGAGGCCCACACAGTACTAACGCTTGCCCAGGTCAGAGCTGGTCCGGGGACACTCAGTGCCAGACACGAGAGCAGCGACAGTGGCAAGAGCCAGTTTATTGGTGGAAGTAGGTGTTGAGGGCCTGTACCCACGCGCGAGGGCTCGGGGCTCCCCAGTGACCTAGAAATCCATGTCCTCGACCAGGTCCTGAAGGTAGGCCTTGTACTGGTCGGAAGTCAGGGAAAGGGGCTGGCTGTTAGAGATGTGCAGGTCCATGGTGTTCTCCAGCGAGGAGGCACCCCCTTGTCGGGCCATGTCCAACAGGGACCTGAGGCACGTGGGAACGACCTGCAGGAGGTGGGGGAGAAATGCAAGTCAAGGAGAGTACCCGACCACAGCTGAGGACCACAGCCCCCACCGCAAACCAGGACCAAGTTATGCCCAAGGGTGCCGGGAGTTGTAGCATTCCCATGTTCCCAAACAGGCCAGAACGTTCCTGGGGCCATGGCCGTTGGAGGGGCTCCCAAAGTTAGGGCTGAGCAGCCTGTGGACAGCACTCCTGGGAGCTGCTAGGCCTTGGGGGTCCACTGACTTCCACATGGCTTAGAGCTCAAGCCAGACTGGGGGTGAGGCCACAGGGAACATGTCTGGAAGCTCCTGGGGCCAAGGAACATGATCTTCAAGGCCCTTAGAAGCTGGAGTTTCTCGGGGGCTTCTGGGGGATGTTCCATGGAGCAACCTCTTCCTTTCATACCACCACTGAGCTCAGCCCCAGGAGCCCAGGGCTGCAGTCACCTTGACCATCACAAGCCTCTTGGTCCACGGCTGGTCCTGGGGCCACGACTGCCCCACGCAGAACCAGAGAGTGTAGCGTGGTGAGCGTGTGCTTCCTTCGATGAAGGTAATCAGATCTGGGGGTCCAGGAACCCAGTCAGGGATGGGAAGAACTGTACTAACCCCTCCTTGTCCAATCTGAACTACCTCCCCACCAACTCCCCTGACCTCAGGCCCTCTGCCACCAAGACCAGGAGGCTGCCAGTTTGGGGAAAGCCTCAGCAGTTCTACGAACTTAACTGTTCCTCCTCCCTCCCATCAGGGTCAGTCTAGGCCTCCCACCCCTGAGACTCAGCATTCAGGCTGGGAACCAGGCCCAGAGGAGGAAGTCCATCCCCACGAGGATGCTCAGGGATCCTGGAGTAGAAGGGGGTGGTGTTTACTGCTCCTTAATCCTCTAAAGCTGCTCAGTCCCATATGTGGCCATTAGCCAGCCACCTTAAGCTGCAAACAAATGAAATAAAATGAAAAAACAAGCCAACCCCTTCTTCAGTTGTGCTGGCCTTATCTGAGCACTCACAGCGCTCAGTGGGACGGGACGGACAGCGCCCACACACCATCTGCCCCTCGCAGGGTTCTGTTGGGCGTAGAAGGCCTCACGGGTTTGTCGTCCCTGTCCGCTGACAAATAGTGACGGCAGCAGCTCATCCCGAGCACTGTCTGCTGGCGTGTGGGTGTGTGGTTCATCTGGTCCACAGGTCAGAGGACGTGGTCCTTGGGCCGCCCAGGCTCAGAGCAGTCCCGTCCTCTGTCCAGGTAAGCGGAGCAGCAGGATCTGTGCTCAGCCCCTGCCCTGGGCCCAGAGCGCTTCCCCACTGCTGTACACTCCGCAGAGCTGCCCCGGCCTCACTCACCTGCCACAAAGGGCCCCAGGTCGAACACGACTCCTTCCTTGTCCTTGGGGACCTCGCCAACAGGCCCATGCCCGCTATCAGGGAGCAGCTCCTCGCCCAGCGCCCAGTACGTGCCACAGTGCCCCAGCCGCTGGGCCCAGAGCCCCTGCCCTGCCCGCCATAGAGCCAGTCCTCCCCCAAGGCAGCTCAGCACACGCTTCACGTAGTCTGTCACTCCCCTGTCTGCCAGGGACAGCTCAGGGTCTGGCAGTGTTATTGGCTGCCCGGGCAGCGTTCTGTCCTCCTCTTCTGACCCCACCAGCCGCAGGCCCCCTGGGCAGAAGACGGTCTGCTGGAAGACTTGGCGGCCCCGGTAGAAGGCTGTCACCTCGAACTCCCAGTCTGAGCGGCGGTGGCGCAGCATGAGGGAGGAGAGAGAGTGTGAGGTGCATGCTGCAGCCCCGTGGCTCCGCGGGCCCGCTGTAGGCACTCACCGTCCTCGGGCACCAACAGCCGCCGCAGTGGGTTTTCGAGGGGTTCCAGGTTTGGGCAGGGAGCAGGGCTGTTGAGGTTGGGGCTCAGCAAGAGCTGAGGGCATTGCTCGGGGCCCACAGCCAGGCCCGAGGGCCCCCCATCTGCGTGGGCCAAGACCATGTCACCCAGTAAGTCCTCCAGAGTGTCCTCCTGGAGAAGGAGAGAGCCAGGCATTCAACAGCCTCTTCCTGGAAACCTCGTGGACCAGCCTTGTGCCCAGTCATGTGGGACCGGGACAGAGTCACACCTGAGCTCTACCCTAGGGGGCTTCCGGTCTGGGTGGCCAGCCAGGCATAGGCACCAATGGCAAGATCAGTGCCCAGGTGAACGCAGGAGTCACATCCCAGTGCCAGGACCCGACCAACAAGCACGGCTCAGCAGGACAGCTCAGCAGGGATGCCTCCCTGGCATGGACCTCACTCTACCCAGGGCAGGGAGGTTGGGACTTTCCAAGAGGCTGGGGGCACCCTGTGGATGAGGCTGGCTGTGAATCCTGGGAAGGTTGTTAGGGCCTCAGTGTCCAGTGAAGACTCAAGAGTTTTCTCCTAAGGAGGCCGGAGAGCCATGGGAGGACTGGGAGCAGGGAAGGGGCAGGGCCAGCTCTGGGTAGGGGGGACTGGAGGGGAGAAGATGGGGGCCCGGGAGGGGGCTGGGATGTTGGTCTGGGGACGGCGTGATGCCTGGGCAGACTGGGGCAGGGCTGGGTGCATGCTCACTTGGGTGTCAGGGGTTATGCCCTTGCCACTGGGGTCTGGAGAGGTGTCCAGCTGGGAAAAGTCTGCACCTCCTGTGGAGAAAGGTCGTGAGCAGAGTAGGGGGTTGCCAGGGGACCTAAATACGAGCCTTCCATGAGAAGCCCCGCTCCGGCGCACCTGAGGTCACAAACTCGTAGATCTTATGTGGGTCATGAGGGTCCTTGCTTCGGTCATCAACTAAATGCAGAGCTTCCTTCCGGTTCAGGGCAGACCGGAAGTTCCTCTTCCACGTTGGCAGGTCAGGCTTATCCTTCCCAGGTGTGTAGGCACCGCTGGCCTCGGCCCAGGCCTGGGGTACCAGTGGTACCAAGATAGTGGGGAAGTGACTTAGACCCCATCCCTGGGATCCTAACCCTAACCCTAACTTCTAGAGTCCAACACTTTTCCCCTGGCAAGTTCTAACTCTGCAAAGCTCCATCCCTCATTCCTCGGATTCCCCAAGCCCCAAGTTTCTCTACCTCCCTCACCCCCAGCTCTTTCAAAAGCTGGTGTTTCTTTCTATATTTTTTTTTTAAGAGAAAGATTTTTTTGCTATAGGGCATGTGCACTTGCTGGAGAGACAGACAGACAGAGAGAAATCACCCCCCAGGGGGGATGGCCATGACACAATCCCTTGTCCATTCTTCTCTCGAGTCTTGGGCACACATACACACCTGGCGTTAGTTCATGCCACTGGGTCTGGGACTCGAACCTTAGTCCACTATGTGGGAGTCCAGCAATGTAACCATTATGTCATCTGCTGGTCCCAAAAGTTGTTTCTTTCTTTTGGTTTTTTTTTTTTTTTAATTATTTATTTATTTAATTCCATTTATTATTATTTTTTAATTTGACCAGCGAGACAGAGAGAAAGGGAAAGGGAGAAAGCAAGCCACCAGGTCTGGGATTCAAACTACAGTCGGCCATGTGGGGATCCAGTGCCTTTAACCACTACAGCACCTGCTGGCCTCAAAAGTTATTTCTAAGCCAGCCTTCCAGGCCTACTTCACACCCACCCCACGACCTGCCCAGGAGCCCCCTGTGATCACCCTGCCCACTCACACCCTGTTTGCTACCACTGGTGCACCCTAAGTTGTGGTTAGTAACCCCAGCTTTGGGGCTCTGTGTCTCACCTCTAATGTTCAAAAAAACACTGGAGTTTTTGTATTTGTTTTTGTTTTTTAATTTGCCAGAGTGTGCACTGGAGAGAAACAGAAAGCAAGCGAGAAAGCAAGCACCCCCTCCCATAAGGCATGGTCATGATGCAATCCCTTCATTTCTCTGTTTTGCAAGGATTTGGGGCACACATGCACACAGGCTGGCACCAGGTATGGGACTTAACTGCACCATAGGTCATGTGGGACTCAGCCCCCTTAACCACACCACTAGCTGGCCACCACACCCAGAATCTGCCAATATAACCAGGAGCCGCGCCCCTAGTAAGCCACCAACCCTCAGGATACTTTTCCTAGAAGTTGTAACCTTCCTTCTTGGTTCTATACCCAGAACCCCTGCGGGATCCGCACCATCTACCGATTGGCTGGCCCCGCCCCTCCCGTTCCAGCTCCACCCACCCATATAGGCACGAACCCACCCCACGCTAACTAGCGTTCTGAGCCGGACCCTGGGTGTTCTCCCAGCCCAGCCCAAAGCCCTCGGTTTCCCAGCTCCGGAGAGCGCGTGCACCTGGAAGATGCCGAAGTCTTCCTGCTGCGCGTCGTGTCGTAGGCCGTGCTTCCAAGGGATGCGGAAACGTGTGCGGCTCTCGTTCACCCAGGCCACGCCCTCCAGATGCCCCTGGTCCAGCTGTGACACTAGCCAGGGCAGGATCCGAGGTTTCTGGGTTCCCATGGTCCCGCCTGCACACACGGGGCAGTTTCTGGACACTGGTGGCCTCCCCGCTCCACCAGGCCCGGGGTTCTGCACCCAGACCTCACGGACAACTGCGCAGGACAAACCTCCTCCCAAACAACGGAGGGTTCGCTAAATCCAAGAGGACTCCCTTCCCAGCGCCTTCAGTGTAGACTCTCTACCCACTCAGTTCTGCCAGTGTAAGCCCCTCCCTCCCCACATTCTCCAAAGCACGCACTCCCACTTCCAGGGAGCAGCCCTCCTTCCCCGAATTTAGTGCAAACGCTAAGCGCGTGCAGGCTTCTTCCACCCGCATTACCCCAGCGTCGCCCCACACCCCGATCTTATCCATTTCCTCCAGGGTAGACCCTGCACCCAGTTCTTCCCAGACAGCCTCCCTCCTCCGGGGTACACCCCTTTCTACAGTGGCCGGCCTCCATTTGCAGAGTCCCCACTTTGCATTTCCCAGACCCCCTCCCCCCCCAAGTAGACGCCTCCTCTCCCTCTCTACTTCCTCCTCCGTCCTTACTTGGTCTGCAGTTGTTCCAGAGCCGACCTCCGGCGCCGGCCATCGCAGCTCCCCTGCTCCTCTTGCTGCACAGTCTCCCTCTCCAACTACCACGCAGACCCGCCTTTCTCCGTTCCTCCCTCGGGGACGCCACCAAGTCCTTCCCCGGCTCTTCCGCGTTACCTACGTTGGAGAGTCGGAGCGCGCCCGGCGCCGAGGCCCGCCCCCTGACTGTGGGCTCCAGACAGCTCTCACACCCAAAGCTGCACACCCCACTTCCCGTCAGCTGAGCTTTAGAGCGCGGGGGCTTTCCTATCGATTTCTTGAAAATTAAAGCAACTTTGTGGTTCCCAGGGTGACTGACTCCAGACCCAAATGGAAACTCAAAACCCAGGACCGCCCCCCTCATGCCCATTTTCGGCTTTCCGGCCACGGGCATGCTGGGAACGTCATATGCAAATTAGGATGTGGCTTAGCGCTCCGCCCCCTCCACGTTGGGGCGGTTACCAGCCCTGCCTTAGTGCGCAGGCGCGGGAAAGTTGAACTAATAAAGTTGGTACAAGTTGAGCCGAGGTGGTGGAGTCGGCGGAGGCGCCCGCGGTGGCGGCGGGGGCGGAGGCGGAGACGGAGGCGGAGTCGGTGGGGCCCTGGGCCAGGTGATCCGGGAGTTGGCAAGGGTTGAGGTGAGGAGGGACCCGAAATCCAGGAGGGAGCACAGCTGTCCCGCTTCGACATCCAAGCGTCTGTGGCCCTCGAGATTCCAACCTGAGTGTTTTTGAAACTACAGCTCCCCGCTGGCTGCCCAGAAGCAGGCGCGGACCCGGGGAATGGTGCCACGGAGCCCACTGGGATGCGTCGTTCCTGGCATGTGCCTCCTTCGGAGTGCAGGAGTCGCACCCCCAAGCCTCTTTCTCTCAAGGGGAACCAAGAGTTCAGGCCCTCAGCCCACTCCTCCTTTAGATCCAAGAATCCAAGCTCCCAGCCCTCTGCCTTTCCAGATGGAGGAGTCAGTCCTCACCTCTCCCTTAAGGGACTTAATAGACAGAGCCCCAAGGCCCCAAGTCTCCCAAAGGACCCAGGAGTCCAAGCCTTCAGCACTTTCTTCTCTAGGGGAGTCGTGATCCCCTCTTCGTTCAGAGACTAGAAGTTTGGGGGCCAAGTCTCCCCTTCCCGCTGACCCTTGAGTCCATCCCTCAGCCCCCCTCTCTTACAGGTGCCTCCATGGCAGGCTCTGGAGAGCTGAGAGTCCAGGAGGACACACTGCGGGTCCTAGATGCCTTCCATAGGCGCCGTGAGGCTGCCAGGACCCCTGTCCCAACCCCACCCAGGTAAGAGACATTGCCCTCCTCCTCTCCCAGAGGTCTGCATTTGAATTGAGGCCCTCCCTAACCCTTGCTTCTGTGCTTAGTCTGTCTCTGTTTATATCTGGCTGTATTACCTGTTTCTGGGGTTGCAAGGGGAGAGCTTCAGCA